AAGAACAAAGTATTGATGTATTGTGTATACAAAACTTCAGTCCTGCATTGAAACGGACCTGGCAAAGTACTCTTCTTTAGGTCTCTTAAGTTGATATTAGAATTATGTTGGCTCCGTGTAGAGTTACCGGAATCCATTGAAGGCATTGGAACAAAGGTTCGGGCGTCGCGATGGTGACGGCGGTGGTAGGTGATAACGAGTTGAGCTGCTGTCGTGTTCGGGTATAGCAACAATTGGTTTTTTCTGTTATATTGTGTTGGGTTCATATTTCAAATTGGGGTTAATCCATTTGTACATGGATCACAGAAATGCTACACTTACACTACATAATCCTCTCAAATGTGTGTGCATCGTGACCTCCACGGTCCACACACGTACGAGAGAGTTGTGTACCAATTGTGTACAACAAATTTGAATGAATTATCACATCTTATATAATGCGCGGGGTCCGTGTATATTTAAAAATTCCGACAATGGTCTCCATTTCATTGTGAGTAGTAAGTAAAAGATTCGATACATGTGACATGATCCTTCAAATTGTGCCATTTTTCGGATAGGTGGCCGTGGCATTGGGCCTGTTCTGCAACAGTTATAATGGCCCGTTTTACATGACCCATTTGGCAAGAATTTTAAAAAGTCGACGTACTTCTAAATCTACAAATTTGCTTTTATACATATTTAAATAATTTTTAAAAGAGCTTTATCCAACCAAAAGACCTTTTTATAAAAAGTACAAAATGTAGAGCCGTACCAAAGGGGGCTAACATCCCCCTTCTATTGAATTTTTTAAAATTTTTATTTTTCACTCTACACGTGAATGGCACATGAAGACGTTACACTTGTAGGCTTCATAACGATTAAAGTTTTTATAGTAAGTAGTTCAACAAATTAATGGTCAATCAACAAACAATACTTTTTCATTTATTAGAGATAATGATTCTTTTTTTTTTTTGATTAATACAATTTATCGAAACCTAGATAATCAATCATTGTATTGAAAACGATGAAGTCCTTAGAACAACTCAATAATAATAATAATAATAATAATAGAGTACCAAAAAAATGGAGCATGATGTTTCCAGGCTCCAA